TTTGTTTAATAGGAATGATCAGAAGGCATATACTATTTAGTCTTTACTTGGACTAGCAAGCAATGTGCTGACTTTAACAGGTTTTTAAATTAATTGAAGTCATTTATTCTTTTGGGGGAAAAATAAGAATGAAAAACCCTAAAATGTCGTCACATCATATTCTTGACCTTTTTCTCTTGGAAATTCTAGAATCAATGGATCAACCAAGAGAGAGAGAGAGAGAGAGAGAGAGAGAGAGAGAGAGGTCGGCGTTTGACCCATACCACATCCACATCATTCGAAAGTATCAATGGGTCAATTATGAGAGATGGAACGTCAATAGTTGGCTTTGGCTACGGTTTGTATGAAGGAGATCCAAAGGCTGTCTCTCTCTATCTTCATGTTCATGTTCATGTTCATGTTCAACCCAAACAAGCCTTTTCGAACTCTGTGATCCATCCTGTCGACTCTTCGAAGAAACATCGATCATTGAAATCGTCTCTTCTAACTCACTTTTGTGAAAATATAAATGACATTAATTTTTTTAAAGAACTTCGATGGAATAATTATTTTCAAAAACAATTATTTATTTATTTATATTTTTTCGAAGGAAAATAAATTATTTTGCATGGTTGACAAAAAAACTCTTTCGTTGGATACCCAATCGGACTCTCGTTGTTATGTGAAATGCTGCTATTGGTTGACACATACAAACACATTATAATCATAAATTGGATAATCAAATTTGCTGAACTTAATGGATTATTTCTCCAAGTTAGATGCTTGGCATTAGAGGAAACGTCGTTGATAGCCGGATCAATTTGACTTAGTTTCAGTCCTTGTATGAAAAAAATCATCGAAAGAGTCTCGAATGTCGACCTACATAAAGATCGGGGTGGAATGAAAAAAATAGTGATTAACCTTGTAATCTTATGAGCCTTTTATGATTGTTCTAATCGAAAAAAATATTTTAAAAATATTATATATTAGATCTAATTTTCTTGTGATGATTGAGCTCGAGTTTTTATTAACGTAAATATTCCTCCGATCACTTGTTTAACTTCCAATAGGAGAGGCATCTTTGTAGTCGATTTTGAGCTTTGTTTTTGCTACATGTGATTTAAAGTAATATGCTTTTATTTTTATCTTAAAAATCATCATCATCAGCATCATCATGATCATCGTAAATATGCTACGTAGCAGGTGAGATATTTAGGTGGAAAGAAAGAGAGGGAAGCTATCTGATGGTGAGCACTTCGACCACGTGTTTGCATGGGAGCGTGGCATTTAGCGCTCACGTCTAACTCGAGTGGCGCTGCGTCCGCGCTACGTGGCCCCAACAGCATCCTTTTGATGTTTGGGCGCCTCTCCACGCGTCCTCTCTGCATCGCTCCGGCGGCGCCTCCAACCGGTAAAGTAATCCCAAGAAGAAGAAGAAGAAGAATAATAATAATAATAATAATAATAATAATCGTATTATTAAGATTCAAATATATAACATGGATATTTAAGCATTACACATCATTGGAGTTCCATCACGATTAATTCAAATATATTCCATATCATATATGTAGGGTGAAGCAAAATTATTTATCACATCAATATCATTTTTATAATCTAAGAAATACACAAGTCCTTCACGATTAGGGTTAATTATAGATTATTCATGTAATTAGTTAATTCCAATCTTTATATTTTTAAAATTTATATTTGGATATTTTACTTATGAAGATAAAATATTTAATCTTATTTCTCTTCGTATCGTCAACTTTATCGATGAAAATATTATAAGATTTATCATTTAGTATATGCTGACTTTATCTTATTTCGATTTATTACTAAGCATGTGTAGTATTTTCAATAGAATCGACGATGATATGAAGAGAAACGAGATTAAATATTTTATTTTTATAAATATAAAGATCTTAATATAATTTTTAAGAATGTAGAAATCAAGATAATAAAGATAACTAATCAAATAAGATAATATATAATTAATATTAGCATTAGAATCACTATGAATCATGTCACTATCACGTTGGAAGACGAAGAATTCGTGTGCATGGTCCAAACACTGTCCCTTGTGTGCTTGTCCTCATATCCTTATATGTAAGCAACAAGAGACCTCGATAACATGCAACTTTGGAAGCATTCATTGTCCAGAGTAGTTCTTATATGTGTTTCAGAGAAGCTTCTCATCGAGTGTAGCTGTAGCTGTCGACAAGGTCGATTAATTATTATGAGAGACATCAATTTGCATGGATGACGATACATCCTATTATTCCATGCAATCAATGAGAAATGTATCATTCCAAAAAACACAACTTCGATCGCCTTTGATGTGCAATGACCATTTGTTCTTCTTTCCACACTATTTTTTCCTGAACTCAAATTGTGCTCGTCATATTGGCGTGTTTAATGGCTGTTTTCGAGCAAATGTAGCTAATTTATATGGTTCATTATTAGGTGAAAAATCAATATCCGTGACCCGAAATTATAGGATATGTTTTCTTTTAAAAATATCAACTAGTCTGGTCGATAAAGACTTTGATAATTTACCGTAAGATTATAAGCTCAAATCTTTATAATCCTCATTTATCTTTTATACAAAAATAAAATATTTGAGATGAGAACTTACCATAAATTTATTGTAGCAACTACACTACCCTATTTTGCATGGATTATTATTAGTTCAGGACCATAACATAAATGCATCAATACATGACATGCATTGCATTTATTGTTCAGAAAGCATTTAATGTTGTCCATGTCATGTTATTTTAGTGGTTAGAATATAGCATATATTGTTCTCAAAGGCTCATTATCGAACCTTCAAGTGATACTCTTGGGTTGTCGTAAGTGTGCAACATAGACAATTCAACGATCATGCATTTAATACAATAGTATGCTACACACTATTCAAATAATAAATGCATTCCACCACTTATGAATTCCGAGGTCCTAAAAGATTCAGAGGACAGAACAAAGAAACGGGTTAGCTGAATTGAAGATCATAAACACTTGGCAGCTTTGGTAGCAACTCAACCGAGTATTAATATTTCCTGACATGACACTCCTTCCACTGTCCATCTCTATCTATATATCTCTGCTATTATAATGTGCAACATTAAAGTGGCTGATGTATGCATGGACCCTTCGTGGCCTTCATCCCAAATCCAAAAGTCATCCTTAGGGGTCGATTGCTATCCTATTTTAGTCATTTTCAATTGATCTTTAGACTATTTCTTGTTGTAGGTGATGAAGATGAGATTCCAATGATGTTATATTATATTGAAAGAATCTTTCTTAGCTAAACTAGTCGATATATATATATATATATATATATATATATATATATATATATATATATATATATATATATATATATTCACTTTCGAACACTTAATAGTTAATTAAGATTGGGTTTATGATCGTATGAAATTAGTAGGTTTTGTATCCATTTTCATCCCCATTGTCCATCAATCTTGTCAAAGACATCATAGATAATATAGAAAAATACAATTAAGAAAGAGAGAAAAACAAAAAAAAAAAGGAAAAAGATGATAAGATTCATCACACTCCCCATGCCACCCATATCACCTAGTGGTTCTTTGATTGAAGCATGGGACACATTTATTATGTTTGATTTATCAAAGGGATGAATGATGAGGAGATTCATATTAGCTGAATCATGGATGAGGAGAAGAAAAGTTTAGGGCTTTGAGCTTTTAGTTTCCTCATATTATATTGATTTTGACATGCATAATTTGATGCATACTTATCGGTTTTCACCGTACTCTAATATGTCACATATTAATTTAAGAAGATAAAATTGATGTCGATCTCAATGACAACAAAAGATCCACGTAAATAGAAGATATCGAATGGTCAGAACTCGACAGCTCCTTCTTAATGACAAGAAAGTTGATCGATGACCCAATCGCTTCTTGGCACTAATCCTATGATGATCGCCTTAATTCGATCTCGGTCAACATAAACTCGGCAATAACCAGCTCGCAAACATCATATAAGACAACCTCATTTTACACACCTGATGTTGGACTTTTCACCTGCTTCAAAGAAATATGATAAGCGCAATAATTGGTGAGGACGCTAAACCAGCCACTGAGCAATGGACACAGGAGTGTTTCTTGCATGAATTCTATCTCTATTTTATTGGGAGAGCACAAGTCTGTATGAGCAAGTTTGTCAGTCGTGGTAGGCAAAAGGAAGCAGCAAGAGATAAGAGAGAGAGAAGAAGATGATAAGAAGAGTACAAAAAGTGAGTGAGAAGGGCAAAGTGGACGGAGGTCCAGAAGACAGGAGGTAGAAGGGAGAAAAAGGGGAAAAAGAAAAACCTGAGAGAACAAAGTCAACCTCCTTTGACGAATGACAACACTCCATGGGCAAGGAAGAGCCCAACTTAGAAAGCAACGAAGGAGTACAGCTAACGTACTTCGCAGGGAATCGGAGATGTTTAATTCTTGTAGGGTGCAATGTTGTTGTTTTACACCATTAAACAAATACGATGTCGAAGAAGATGTTGATGATGATTCATTCAGGAGGGGAAAAGTAATGATTTTAAGTTTATTTGTTTGGAGTGAATTAAATGATTTATTTTCATCATTGAATTTCATATGAAAGATCAGATTCTGCTGAATTCTCTGTAGAACAAAGTGAGGTGAGATCTCCTCCCTCTCTCTCTAACTTCAGTAAGATTAGCAGAGGATCTTTGGAAGACATCGACATAACGAGGAAATGATTTATTAGGAGATGAGAGAATCTATCAGGTCTAATCAATCACTCGAGCATTGTTGCAGTGGCACCTCCCCAGTAGTCATGAACTGATTTGCCACTGTTTGGATCGATTGAAGTGCTTCGGATTGCTCATGCCATGTTCTGCATTGGTGTTTCGCTTTGCTGCCCAGTGATGGATGCAATGGGTGAATGGATTTGATGTCTACCGAAGAGCACAATTTTTTGGCAAAGAAAAAGAAAGAACACGATTTTGTCAACCGAGAAGATTTTAATTCTGCTGTGATAAACGCACAAACTACACACAATAGATCATCGCCGGAACACAGATCCCGTGACATCAGATCTCTATCAATTTCTTGGCTGAAGCCTCATCTCTCTGTTAAATCTCCTAATGAACTCTTCCACTCTCTTGTTGAGTTCCTCATTCGACATGCTCGAATACTCACTCTCCTCCACTCTGTATTCCCTTTTTTTTTCATCGACCTCTTCTAATGGCGGAAGTGAATTCTGATGCAAAACCATACCCTTCTCGTCGCCTATATCCGATCGCGACATGGGACACTCCCTCGACTCCCGGTTTGCCGATTTCTCATGCAGAATTATGCTCTTGTCGACGACTACCTCCGACTGGCCGTGATCATCATCTCGGTCTTTGTGGTTCTCTTTATCGGTGATATCAGGCGGCGGCGGCGACGACGACTGCTGCTTCTTCGCCGCGAGGGAAGCACTCCTCGACCTGCGATGCTCGGCGGCGTTCTCATGCAGGAGGACGAGCTCCGACTGGCTCGGAGCATCGTCGTGCTCTTTCTGGTTCTCTTTGTGGGTGACATCAGGGGACGACTTCTTGGCGGCGGGGAAGGCACTCCTCGCTCTGCGGTGCTCGACGTACTCGTCGTAGAGGTCGCCCGCGTCGTGGGTGGAGGAGGAGAAGACGCCGGAATCAGCTGCGACGATGATGATGATGGAGTTGGACATGAGGAACCAGAAGGTGGTGTCCTTGAAGAGGGTGGAGGGTGGGATGTGGAGGAGGGAGACGTAGAGGAGAGGGAGGGAGATGACCAGAATGGAGATGGACAGCTTCTTTGCCTTGTGAGGGAGTCGATTGCCGGGGCTGCTGCTGATGATGGAGTTCGGCTTGGCCATCTGTGTGAGGAGGATGGGTTTGTCATGGGGGCTTTGTGTGGGGAGATTGAGGGGGGCTTTATACCGCAGAGGCCGAGCGATGGGAATCCAGAGAGAGTGAAGTGTCATTGTCTCGGTGGAGGACACCGAGCACGATGACCTGAGCTCGAGGGATGTGGATTAATGCTTCTGCCACTGTGTGGGCGGTGAGTAAAGACTGCCTTTTCCTCTGTCTTTTACTTGAACCAGACTTGTCCAAAGACTTGTCAATGCTTATTAGCCATCATACAACTTATATGAAGAATATAGATTATAGGGATCTATATTTTTCTTGCTAGAATATATGACATAGTATTTCTAGGGTTATTATTACTGTGTTTGGCTTGCAATGAATCTAAATACTATTTAAGTATCATGCGTGTTATTTGGATGGAAAATAAATATCAAATTACAAATTATAAATTACAGCAGTAAGGCAAATTTCTTATGAGGAAACCCGACCCGTTATACGAAATGAAAAATGAATTATATAATTAAAAAAACATATGCTAATGCACATAAAAAATAATTTAATACTAGTTCTACACCTATTTTACTTTACACGTGAACAATGTGCAAACCCTACACACATCGTTAATATTTATCATCACGTGATCTGTATTCACCTTAAATCAAGCCCACGTGGCTTCTTTAAATGGAAGCCGGTAGGTGAGATTAGAAATGATGATGAGAGAAGCATTACGTACTCGAATCCAATAATGTAATGGATCCTGATGGAATCCGACCCGGTCGAGGTAGGATGAGAGCCGACGCAAGTGGATGGGAGAGCGTCTCCTCTCTACTGGGCTTTTACGATGGCAAATGGGCCGACATGCCGGCCTGGGTAACGGCTGGACTAACTTTCTTGAACGCTGGGGAATCGCGTTGTGGCCGGCGTCGATCGGCCAGGGCGTCGAGGCCGAGAGATGGTTGGTCGGAGGCGCTCGGTCTCCTCAATCGCAAAGCGAGGTAAATGCCTGATAGGAAAATCCCAACGGTTTCTTAGAATCCCTAGCGAGAACAAGAAATGGGGCGCGGAAGAAGAAATGGAGAAGGAAGGATCGGAGGAGGACCGGGAACTGGGCAATGGAGGACACTGTTGAGGAAGCACCAGTCGTCGAGTTCTCAACGCAGCGGCGACGGTGAGGTGCTTCTCCTTCACGTCGGCGGGCCCGTCGGAGTCGTCCTCGTCGCTCACCACATCCCGTAAGAATTTTCGATGTCTTCGCATCAATTTCTGCCCTCTCTTTTTCTTATTATATAATTAATATCGAGCAATTAATTCCCCATCTGTGCTTTAGCCATGACGCATCTCTATATTTGCAGGTCCCGCATGCAGCTGCCAACCGTGAAGCAGGTAACATGTTGGGCTGTAAACGAACAGGTAACGTTCAAATGACTTGGCGGGCATATTTTCTTCTCAATGGGGAACATATGAGCTTTTATTAATCTTATAACCCAATAAAAAGTATTATTTTTTGTTTGAAAAATAAAATTATAACAAACTTGGTGTGGTGAATTGTGGAATAGTATGCTTTATCATAGTTTGATTCAAAATCGGATTGAAATCGAATACCTTAACAGTTACTCAATTCTAAATCAAATCCGAGATGATTTCGAAGGGATCCATTTCGATTTGAATTATTGGTTTCATAATTTAAAATTATTATTTTTAATTATTTAAAAATAATAATTCGATTTATAATCGCTCGAATTGGAATCGACAATTTCGGGTCCATGTTGGTTTGGTTCTAATTCTTGATTTTAGAAAATCAAAGTTATTGATTTCATAAATAAAAATTCATGAACATGAGGTAGAAAATTGTTAATGTATGATATTTATGGATTGATCTAATCATAAATTTAATTTGATTTTGATTTTATGTTATGATGGATATATGATCTATGGACACATGGAATTGTGAGATAACTTAAGATAGCATAGTAGCATTTACTAGAATTATCTAATGTAAATCAAAGGAGATATTCGTAAAAACAAAGCAATTGAGTATTGAGCTTTATAAGATAAAAGACTAAGAAAATAAGGAACAATCTCTTTTACTCTTACTAAGCGTAAAAGAGAAAATAAAAGTAGAACTCGGAGAAGTGCATCACTATATAAAATTGGTATATATATATATATATATATATATATATATATATATATATATATATATATATATATATATATATATATATATATATATATATATGAAGTTGGGTTGACAACTCATATTCAGTCCAATATGAGTTTTATCAATTCATAGCCCACTCCTCCTCTTAAACTAACCCTAGATTAATATAAGGGGGGTGTGGTAGCTGCGTTTTGGCATGGAGGTGGCTGCGTTTTTGGGGCAAAAAAGGGTAGCAACGTGGTGATCTTCGCAGCAGCAAAGAGGAGAAGAAAAAGGCAGAAAACAAGAGAAAAAAAGGGAAGAAAATAAGGACAAAGAGACTGTTCTCAATCATCTAGTAGTGTTCTCATCTTAGGTTATATCAAATTTACAATAGACTCTTGTTGTGATTACTTGGGGAGGTTTTAGATATCGTGGACAGTGACGTGATCCTTGTATCCCAGTTGTTCTCTTGTGATTGTTGCTATGGTTTAGGGCAAAAGATTGAGATTTATATATTCATTATTCTTATAGTGGATTATCTCTAGTTTGTCCCGTAATCTTTACCTTTCACATTTGAGGGGTTTTTCACATATATTTTGGTGTTCTATTTGATTGTGATTTCATTTAATTCCGCTGCATATCATGACCTTCTAGTATTTATTCATATACAAAGATTATTCCGCTTTATATCTCCATCACAAGTTACACTAATTTTCAATGATAATTGAAACTTGAGTATTCCTATTTAATTACGAGTCTAACTGAATCTTAAAAACACTTTTTTTTTCATCTAAATTATTTTTAATGCATTGTAGAAATAGATAGAATGGAATTTTGGCCTGGAAAGCTATGAAATTAGAATATTATTTTACTGTTCAAAGAGTTCTTAATACTCGAAGATATGATTCTTGGACTAAATTTGAAGAAAATAAAGACTAAAGTTCTATTAATTTTAAATGAGGTTACTTTGATTTTTAATGATAACCGAAATCAATGGAATCTCATTCAAAACTAATGTTCTTATGCTCTTGTTAGCGTTTTCGAACCTTTTTTCGATGGAATCTCATTCAAGACTAATGTCCTTATGCTCTTCTTAGCATCTTCTAACTTGTTCTTTCAATGGCTACTCCCTTTTAAGTATCGCCTCATGCTCTCTCTCGCCTCTCTATCTTTCTATACAAACTCCCCAATTAAATTGTCTTAACCATAGATCTTATTCGTGATTGTTAGAACGTGAATAAGTCTCCTTCCAAATTCATTCCAATAGATTCTATAAATATATAGAGGAGTTTTTGACCTTCAAAACTATAAGATTAGAGGCTAAATGATTAAAGATCTAATTTAACACAATTTTATCTTTAAATGTGTTAAAATTATTTCAAAATATCAATTTAACGTTCAAAAGATCTTAAAACTCGCTTTTGCTTCAATTGTGATATTGTTAATCTAAATTAAACATCTTGAATTAGCAGTTAGACTTAACAAAATTAATATGATGAGATAAACCGAGTCTTGACAATTAGTATTTGAGCCAATCTAATACCATGAGATGATAAAAAGCTCAAGTAAAGAAAGAGTTTTATGTGAATAAGGCTATATTACATATCGATCCTAAGGAGAACGATAAGTCCTTAAATAAGAGAAATTAAGTATATTGTGAGACTCAGTTTACTGTCACAATACGTTAAGACTAAGATTAATGAGTATATTACTGTTAATTTCATTTTGAGTCAATGATTCGAATTCCATAAATATAATAGCCTAATTATTCTATCAAATTGGATTATAATAATTAACATCAAAATCGATCTAACATGAGACATCACTCATGATGTACTCAAATAGTTCCAATGCGATTCATAATTAATAATGCCTTTGGTACTCATCTAACAAATAAACAGCTAAGCTCTCTCTTTCTCTCGTTGTCCTTTCCAACGTCCTACACAGTCTCGAGCAGTGCCGCTTGTGCAACTATCATTTATTTGTATACTCTTTAATTCTCTTCGTAAGATCAAAAAAATATTATATATAGATTTATCTGGAATTCCATTTTTCGGGACAAAAAGTGTTGGATGAGTGTCATCATCCTTCACCTATTTCAACCCAATATTTCAGATATCCTTGGTTCGATCAGACCTGATCAAATCGGATCGATTCGATACATAATGGGTTCAGCATGAAACAGATAGAAATATAACTTACCAGATCATAATTCTATAATTATGTTTGACAATCAACCTCATGATATTATTTTTGACATTGATCGCTGAGTGATCTACTGTTGGCAACAAAAAAAAAATATTAAGTGTAGAATTGATTTGGGACTTCGATAATTTAATCTGTTCCCACCATGTGATATTATGTCTTTCAACTGTTGTCCTCAAGCTTTGACACAGGAGTGGATATAGATTCTTGTCTGCACCTGTAACCTATTAGGTTTTGTGGCTAAACACTCAAATCATGTGTCCATGATCATTGGGAGGAAGAAGGTGAAGAACTATTTGGAAGCTAGAAAGGTCGTAGGGAATCACCATGAAGACCTACATTGTAATATTTTTGTTTGAGGGCGATTGTACTTAATATAATAAGCGGAGTTGCCTAGGTTTTTGTGATGAAGGCACCCTCGCCATACTGCTTACTTGCACACATTCACTTGGGTTTACTGTGTCCTTTTAATGGCCTTCCCACACCCATCCGTTCCAAATTTGAAATGACATACATATATCGTTTTTATGCTTTTCATGAAGGCTGCTCATTGTTTTTGTTTTTGTTTTCTTGAGATGATATTTTTTTTATTTTTTATAATATCTATAATGTCTTTTGTCGTCGTTCCTCGTTTTCACATTTATCCTATCTATCTTTGCCATTGCTAAGATCCTCGTTTGTTATTGTCGATACACTAATAAGATTTCGTTATAAGGCTTTTGCCCTTCTCGATATGTCCACTATCCATAACGATGAGGGAGACTAATTGTATCATTTTATTAACAATGGAGGATGAGTCGATAACAATAATAGGAAAAGGTTGATGATAAAATTATTAATAAAGGTTGACAACAAAGGCGTCAAGGAGGGCAAAGGCTTAAACGCATCTCGACAGTGGCAAATGAGACCGAGGGTGAGGGTGACGGATGATGCCGAGAATGTGTTTTAGGGCAAGAGACAAAAGTGAAGGTGGGATAGCCAACAATAGCACGATGACAACAACAAATGAGAACAAGAACAAGATAGCAAGCGATAGACGATGATGAGGCTAAGGTGGCGGGTGACGATGAATGCTATTACGAGTAATAAAGAAAATAAAGAACAACATATGAAAAAATAAAAACAGCGATACCTTCCAAAAAAAAAAGATCTTTTAAAAAATCATTATAAATATATAATTAGGATTGTACGAAGGAGATGAATACATTAAAATAATTTTTATATGTAGGAGGAGGAGACATGAAAATGATGTTAATATAGAAATGATATTATAGATATTCTATTAAAAATGGTAAGGAGGAACTAATATGTAAAAGGTGCCTACTTTATTTAAATCCCACGACGTGGCGAACACATTAGCAAGAATCCGCATTCATTTCATTGAGGTCCTTTATGCTGCCAAGATGGTGACAAACAAATCATTCCTACTGTCGTCTACCACAGGAGTGCACCATTAGATTCTTGCTTATCTCGCACCACTTGCCTTCGAATGTATATAGATACTCCATACCACCTTTCTTCGTGTGCTGTTGCCCTCCAAATCCCATCACCACCATACATAGATGCTTTTCTTATTTTAAGCTACCATATTTACTCTTATAATTTTTATGTGGCTTATGCATCCCCCAAATAGTATGATCAAAGCTCAGACTAACCACACTCCTCATTGATAATTAAATAATGAAGATTGCTTAACAATTAAATATTTATATAATTTTTTTAGATTTTATAAGACCATACAAAAATATATGAACAATAAATAATAATAATAATAATAATAATAATAATAATAACTAAAAGGGAGATTAAGAGAGCGGTGATGTAACAGCATCCACTAAATGCACACCCTTTACATTATGTCCAGGCCCCACCACCATACCACACAACGCCACCCACATCACATGCACGTGTCCTCTTCTTCCTCCCCTTCCCCCTCTACCCGGCCGCCTGTTGCGACCTTCCGGTCCAGCTCAACAAGCCAAGAGAAGAAGACCGTACACTGGCAGTGAACACAAGCGGTGAACTGATAAGAAAAAACCAAGCAACAATAAGAGCACTATAGCCTTAAGGACAGGTCGAGGTCGGTCTGGTCTTCGCCGTCGGCGGGGGCGGCGGCGGAGAAGTCCGCGGGTGGCTCCTGCTGAGGGCGGGAGCCCCTTCGCCAGTTAAGTAAATCTATGGTCCCGTCGCCGCTGGCTGAGGGGTCTCCGGCGGCGCACATTGCTCTGCCGCTGCTCACGGTCGCCAGCAACGGGTGGTCGGCGGCGAACCGGGGGGCGCTGCGGGAGCCGAAGCTCTCGGAGCAGTTGCCGGAAGGAAGATACCTGGACGCGTGGGAGGCGATGGGGAGCGGCGGCGCGCTCAGGTGCTGAGGAGGAGGGATGGTGGTGGCGGCGTCGGCGGTAGGCGCAAGGTAAAGGTAGGAGCTCCACCCCACGCTCCTCTCTTTCTTGTGGGCATTTTGATGGCCTCCGAGAGCTTGGGACTTGAGGAACTTCTTGTTGCAGAAGAGGCAATGGAAGAGCTTCACATCCTTCGTCTCGTGGTCGGAGGAAGGCGAGGAGGCGGCCAGGGCGAGGGAAAGATCGAGGGTCGTCGTCGTCTCCGACGACTCTGGTGTCTCCGGAGGAGGAGATTCCATCTCCGTTCTCAAAAGCCTTCTCCACCTCCTCAGGGAGTGGGTGGACTAGCAGATGTAGCCAGGGGGGGAATCAGTGCCTGCACATATATGGAAAGACTAAGTGACAACAAAAGCATGTCTACATGATGTCGAGAAAGAGTTTGAAGTCAAAAGATGTTTAGATGAATCGAGACCAATTTTTATAGAGGCAAAGGAACAAGCAAGGCACAGACGGGAAGAGGACCCAGAAATAGGTTGGAACAGGAACACAAAAGCCAAACATGAGTTGCTTCCCTATCATTGAAGCTGAAAACAAGTAAAAGGTGAATCTAAAGGACTATACCTTTTGGAAAGAGCTAATTAAAAGCCTCCTGTGGACAGCCTTGGCCGGGAGACTATCCCTGGAGTTGGGATGCTGGAGGGTACTGCCAATTAGCCCAACAAGGAAGGGTGTGGAGGACGCACTACTTCCCCCGCATGACCCTTTCCGACTCGCAAAGGCAAGGAGGAAATAACCGGGAGTCTGATCACTGACAGAGCTGCCACCTACCATCCTCAAGTGCAACCTAACGCTAGATATATAGATAGCCCAGGTTGCAGTACGCTTCCATTTACACCCCGCATAGAAACAAGCACAACCAGAATCCTGTGAGTTAGTATGTATCATTTGCAAGTGGTAGGACAAAACAGGAGTTTGGGAATAGTAATGTTCAGACTACGGCTGAGTAATCCTTCGAGATAGAGAGAATGGGCGCTGCAGTCATCACCAGTTTCAGGAAGAGAAAGATGCGAAGATGGAGGTCAGAAACGTGTTTGTCGATGCAACAATTCGGAGAGACGGAATCCGCCGGTATTTACCAAGATGGATGGAACTCAGAAGCACGCGACGACATTTGTGGTTATCTGTGCATCCAAGATAAACTTGATCTGCAGACACTAACAAGACTGATAAGCTCCACCAATGGCGATGTAGCAAGATGGCGACAGACAGTAGCCACACTTTGTTCTTTGTGCTCTGCAATGACAAAATGGTCCTGCATGAATTATTGCGATGTACGATTCTGCAGTTATTGTGTTATGTCTTTGATGGGACAATCTTTGTTTGGTCTGCCCATACGAACTGCTGCTATCAGACATGCCACCCGCATAGACATCGACCTCTTCTTTATCGGCATCCATGGAGAGAACCATGCAACCTGCAGTAGCACCGGTTTACCACAACCATGAAATGTTCTCGAGACTCAAAAGCTCATCGATGTATGAGATCTCTTCGGTGCATTGAACTTGGTCTCAAATGCAAATCTAGACTCATGACCGAGAAAGGTAAATGTAGACATCCTCGACTTTACCATCGAGAGGTGAATTGTTTCTGTGACTGTCAATCAATTCTGCTCATCCAACTCACAAAGAAACAATAGGTCCACACTCCAAGCTATCTATGTACCAACTGTTTGCTACAATGTACTACCCAACAGGTGCTTCGACTGGGTTGATTTGGACTTCCAAGCATGTGATTAGTAGAAACAAAGGTTTATCTGGACCAGAAAGGAATGGTTAGTGTCTCAACAGGCTGGCCAGCGTAGATACTGCAAGATAAGGCCACCAAAACCCAGCTGACGGCAACAGGACTATGCGCAAGAACTTTATGAAGAAAAGGACAAATGAGATGCAAATCCAATGCAAACATTACTGGCTTCAAACAGCAGAAAATTGTAGCTGATTAAGAGGCTCTTCGCTTGGAAACAGAAACTTCAAGAGACCATTGTAAAGTAGGGCATCAATGACCATTACCTCACTCTTCAGTAATTTCTTCCTTTTTCTGAAGCATCACTTTTCCCTCACCTATGAAACTTGTGAGGAAAATGAGTAGTCTGAGATTACAATGCTATAGATATCAGCAAGTCAATATCATTCCATTGGGCTTTTACATCTTTGATAAGGGACATGAAAAAGAAGAAAAAAGGCAAAGGATGTAAATGTGATTGATTTATATTGTTCTACTGCAAATATATGCTGCTGTGTTTTATGGTCTGAAAGAGTCAGCTCATTCAGTTAATTTTAATGCATACAGAGAAAGGTAACATACAATGATCTGAAAAAGGAAAAGCAACAGAATTGTGGGGATTTAGATGCAGACAGGAGGCCAATAAGGGGTAGGGTTGGATCAGCTACTTGGTCTGTGAAATTGAAACATGTCCTAGGAAGATGATTAAAACTTGGATAAGAACAAAGTGGCTCCAATAGATGTAGGAAGAAGTCAACAAGAATCTTGCAAATGACAGTGGAACTGATTGGACAAATCATTCATGTGGGTAGCATGGACATGATGTTCCACATGGCATTGTATGGATGACAAGTAATGTGACATGCCATATATATGCTTTACAACATGTGAGATTTTAGGGTTTTTGGAAAATGGTTGTATCCAGGAAAACATAGATGAATACAGTGGTGATGAAGGGAAGTCCAACAAAACAAAGAAGATAGAGAGACTTAATGTATGAAGTTGGCATACCATTAATTGCAGCAATTCATTGTATTTAAGTAGATGTATCACTGGAGCAGCTGAATTTAGTGAAGAGATATACAAGTCACGGGAAGCTCATTTGTAATGATGCATGGCTATTTAATATGCTGAAGAAGACTACTGAACCAAAAGAAATACTTTGGCCTGTCATCACAAAGTGTATAAATAAGAGGAGAATAGCTTAAATGAAAAATAACTTCTTCAATAATTCTTTTGTCTTATATTCTTTTCAATAAAAATATTATATTTAATATATAATTCTAATAATCTCAAATCAGTAAATTGAGTACACAAGTCGAATAACTTCAAAAATTAAAATTGTATTTGAGATCTACCTGTTAGCTTCCTTTTATAATGGTCTCGTAGAGTTGTTACTTCCGTGTGGTATAACGTTCATGAGAAATGTGGTGCGTCAATCTCGGGTGTAAATATCACTATACCGTGTCAAGTCCAAGATGATGTATTATCCGAAAATATGATACTGATCAATCAATAAAGTGTAATTAACTAGTTGATTTAGACTAATATGGAGGTGTTGGTCATCAGATACCAAAGTATTAGTTGTTTGATATTGAGGTGCCAACCACTTGACGCCTAGGTATCAACTATTTAACATTAAGGTGTTAGTTATATCCATCTGACTGACACATTAGTTGGATTCTTGTCTAATAAAGATGACAACTCGATATCGAGATGAACGGTAACTTGATTCTAATAGAGTAGTCTATTTGACCAAGACAATAGGTAGCAATCCCAAATATTTCACAAAGTTGTTACCCTATAACTATGACACTAATGGTTAAATGCATGATCTCACTATCTAATGATCTATCTAATCATTTTCATCAAAATTACTTGATTTGAAACTCTCCACCTATATTCATGAAAAAAATAATATTAATTATAAGCAACCATGAGTTAACCCCAATTCAAGCATAAGTCTCATTATATATACTCTTACATAAATTTATTTTTTTTAATTTTTTTTTACGATCTCTAAATCCACTAGAGATAAACTGAGGACCTATCAAACCTAAAGATATATTTATAATAATAAATTTTAATTGATTAATGACTTATTTTTCAACATGAATCTTTTATCATAATCTACATCTTAATTCATCAATTAGTTTGAATCTTCCTAAGACATCGAAAATACTTAGCAACCATAATACTTTGAATGTATAATCACCTCTCATTTTACTCTTTTATTTCTTAATCAACTTTCCTGACTCTTCTTAAAAACACTTTCCTAATTCTTTAGCAAGTGAAATTAAATTAGTGAGATCAGAATTTTGTATATTTGAAGACAAATGATATCCATTGTATACAACGAAGGCTTATATATATATATATATATATATATATATATATATATATATATATATATATATATATATATATATATATATATATTTTACTTCCATTCTCTTCCTACTACTCAACATCCTAAGCCACATTGCTGGTTGATAAATATAATATTTTTCTTGATCCATATATATAGAAATTGATTATATTAATTTTTCTCAAACATGCTTAATTTAGTAGGACATGAGAATTTAGATGATTTGTTGGTATATATTTTACTTATATTTACAATAAAATATAAAAAAATTAATGGATGAGTTATTAGAAAAAATTCATTTTAGGAAGTAAAAAAAAAATATTTTTAAGAAATTCCTAAAAAAGGTACCCAATTAATGGGAAAAGACGTGAATGCTCTCAAAAGATTTTCTATCTTCTTGGCTTATATCATTGCTAATTTATTTTATATATGTGATGAGGTAGATACTCGTTAGATCTTATCATCGCTTATGATTATTTCTATTTTTTTTAAAAAATTATTATGTAATGTAAAATGGTTATAGTCTAAGGTAAGGTTATAAAAGAGTCGTGCCAACAATTTCATAATCTATGGTTGTATAGAAATTGAAAGGAGATTACAAAAGTATTTTTAACAATAATTGCTAAAATTTAGTATAACATTGTTTTTGTTTCATATAAGTGGGATATTTTATCTAGTATGCCAACTACGAAATAGATATAAGTTCGTATATTATTACTTCTACGTTAATTCATTCTATACTTGAGAGAATTGTATGTATACTATATCATCGTGCTTTTGGGCTATCGCTACGGTGACTACGAAACTCAAATACGATGAACAAACTTATACACAACAATATATAGAAAATATCATTAAAATTGCCCACTTGATAATAAAAAAAATGTTTAGAGCATTCTTGGCTGGCTGTAATGCTCACTATATATGGACCCAATAGCATGAATTTAGTATTCCAAGAGATTGACAGTTTATCATTTATCAATATTATTAACATGATCAGACAAATAATTACCAATTGTTCTATATGTGATGTGAAACAATATGGAAGTTTCTTTCTCTATTTGATATTGTTAGGAGGGCTAATTATAGATTGTCCTTTATAATTAGGTGTCTTTAGTATCTTAGTTCTTATATTTTCAAAAATTATATTTAAATTCTTATATGTATAAAAGTAAAACATTTAACATCATTTCTCCTAAGCCATCGATTTTATTAATAAAAATATTGTAGGATTTATTATTAAGTATGTGCGATATTTCTATTAGTGTGAGGAGAAAAGAGATTAAATGTTTCACTTTCATAAGTATAAAAATATCAATAAAACTTTTGAAAGTATAGAACCGAGATGCTAAAAGTAGTTAATTACAAAAGGTAATTTGTAATTAGCCCATTGTTGGATTAATAAAGAAATGAAAAAAAATCTAAACTTAAGAATACACTTGCAAGAAAAAAGCATATATCAAAAGAGATTATTCCACATAAATCTTATAGGAATAAAATTACCGTGCATTTGATCCTTTATCCCTATGGCACTATACAAACATGTCTATGCTATTATAAAATTGATCAATCCACTTAGATCAGTGAACAACAAGGATCGATAATCTATAGAATATCTCTGAAGCTAGTGTACAAAATACCATTCAAGTCGATGAGAGGTATTTTTGATATTATTCAAAACAAATATCTTATAATAATAATAATAATAATAATAATAATAATAATAATAATAATAATAAATAATAATAATAATAAATAAATAAATAAATAATAATATAAAAAATAAATAATATTTTTTCAAATCTCTTAACTATATCAAACGGATAAATAACCAAAGTAGATACCGATTATGCTCATATCTAAAACCCCGAATTCTAACGCATGAATTTTCTATCCAAATTGATATCAAAACAAGCTTAAAATACCAGAATGATAAGCATAATGTAATATTAATTCGATTCAAATATTTGTTTTCGTTTTCAGATCCATGTGAAATCTGATTCAAAGATATTAGAACATAATTAAAATGGATTAATAATTTCCGATACCTGAAAAATTGCGGTCATTTGCAATCTCTTGTTGTACGGTTCGGATTTAATCGGGGACAGAACGAATCTCCCATGAATCCTTCATAATCCACCACATTTTATCCACGTGCCGATGAAGTCGTCGCCGTGCCCACGTTTTGTGGTCATGTCCGACGGCTTCCCACCGGTCGACGACCGAACATAGAGAACTCCATCCCCTCCGTCCGTATCTAATCTAACAGTCCACATGGGCTGTCAGTCCACCTTCTAGAGTCTTCTCCTCAACCGCCCCTCCCCTCCGTAAACGCCCGCTTCCATCTGGCATTTGTCGTACCCAACCAACCAGGCTTGACCGCGAGTCCATTGAATACCCCATCGCTTCCCCGGCGGATTCCAATCAGGGTTTCGTTCTCCTTGGTTCTTCGATCCAGGCGACGGAATCGGAGCGGTTTGGAGTTTGAATCGCTTGGTTCGTGCGTGTCTTGGTGGGGTTTGGGATCCATCGACCGATCGAGTTAGTGTTTGGCCTCGAAGATGTTCGGAAGAGCGCCGAAGAAGAGCAACAACACGAAGTACTACGAGGTACTTGGGGTGCCCAAGAGCGCGTCGCAGGATGATCTGAAGAAGGCCTACCGGAAGGCCGCCATCAAGAACCACCCAGACAAGGGCGGCGACCCCGAGAAGGTCTGAATCAGTCTATGTCTCTCGTATAATCGATTCGTTTCCCTTGTTCTCCTTCAGATCTGATCTCGGTTTTGTTCGTAAATTAGATCTGCGGTAGCAGAGATAGTTCTTTCCCCCTGTCCTTTTGTATGTGTTTTTCTGGAATTCTTTTGATTTGTTCCGTTGATTTGCTTATTATTTTGGTAGCAGATCTTAGAGATTCTGGTGGCTGTGGTTGATCGATACAGGTTGTTATCATATTGGACTATGTGGGACGCTTCGATTCGTAATTTTCATTCTACGTTTTCTATTAGCTTCTTTTGTTCACTTTCTGGCAGCATCTATTTTGAAGTTATCAATTTTGTGCATTACCGATCCAAGAAACGAGCGAATCAGCAATCGCGCTTATTCTGTAACCTGGTTCATCGTTAAGGAAACACGTAAAATAATGTTCTTTAATATTTTCTTGAATGCATGAATCTCTTGACATGGTTTATCATGACGAGCTTGCTATTGGCAATTCTAGGTGGTGCTAAATGTTTCTTGTGGATTCGTTTGATGGTTGTAATGCATGCTTTGCCTGTTGTTTATGTGATGCAATCAGTCCATCATGCTGTTTGTTGATTTCAAGAAATGAAAAGACTGTTTATTCCTCTTTCAGTTCAAGGAGTTAGCTCAGGCTTATGAAGTTCTGAGTGATCCTGAAAAGCGTGAGATCTATGATCAGTATGGTGAAGATGCCCTCAAGGAGGGAATGGGTGGTGGAGGTGGCCATGACCCATTCGATATTTTCTCGTCTTTCTTTGGTGGGAGTCCCTTTGGAGGTATACCTTCATGTTACGGATTTGTCATCTTGTAGTATATGAAATCATGCCTTCTTCTTGACCTGTAACCCTCCACTAAGTTGTGTCATCTATCTCTACGTAACAGGAGGAAGCAGCAGGGGACGAAGGCAAAGGAGAGGGGAGGACGTGATCCACCCTCTGAAGGTGTCTTTGGAAGACCTCTACAATGGAACTTCTAAGAAGCTGTCACTCTCACGAAATGTCATCTGCCGGAAGTGCAAGGGGTGAGATTCCGACTTCTCCCTGATGCTAGTTTCCATGATTCGGACAATTGGTTACTAATTTTTGTTTACCTTTGTTCAGCAAGGGCTCAAAATCTGGTGCTTCGATGAAGTGCTCTGGCTGTCAGGGTATTGGTATGAAGGTGACAATACGTCAGTTTGGCCCGGGCATGATTCAGCAGATGCAGCACCCATGCAATGAGTGCAAGGGTACTGGGGAGACCATCAATGAGAAGGATCGCTGCTTGCAATGCAAAGGTGAGAAGGTTGTCCAGGAGAAGAAAGTGCTGGAGGTTGTGGTGGAGAAGGGTATGCAAAATGGTCAGAAGATCACCTTCCCTGGTGAGGCCGACGAAGCGGTATGTTCTTATGTCCTTTTCCTTGGTACCTAATTGTTAACATACTTGCTTGTGATGAACTTCAATGTTCTTACGGTGGATACATGATGAATGCTTGCAGCCTGATACCGTCACTGGAGACATTGTGTTCATCCTTCAACAGAAGGATCACCCCAAGTTCAAGAGAAAGGGGGATGATATCTTTTATGAGCATACGCTGTCCCTCACCGAGGCTCTCTGTGGCTTCCAGTTTGTTTTGACTCACCTCGACAACAGGCAGCTGCTCATTAAATCGAATCCTGGTGAAGTTGTTAAGCCTGGTAAGCTTTGAGCCAATCTAATCTAGTGGAGTATTCTATGGATCTTAGATTCTAAATGTGATTTGTCTGCTGTCACAGATCAATTCAAGGCAATCGATGATGAGGGTATGCCAATGTACCAGCGGCCCTTCATGAGGGGGAAGCTCTACATTCACTTCACCGTTGACTTCCCCGATTCATTGACACCGGATCAGTGCAAGGCTCTCGAGGCGGTGCTCCCTCCAAGGCAGGCGTTACAGATGACAGAGATGGAGCTGGATGAATGCGAGGAGACGATACTAAACAATGTTAACATCGAGGAGGAGATGCGGAGGAAACAGGCCCAATCTCAGGAGGCATACGATGAGGATGACGATGTTCATGGCGGTGCCCGAGTGCAGTGCGCGCAACAGTAAGAAGTTAAAATTTGTATCGGCTTAATCATCTTTTTGATGTAAATTTACACCAAATTGATGAGCTAGAGAAGCTACTACGAACCTGGATTTTGCTGCCTACGTAATTATTTTTTTTATTCCTATCGAACATCTGCAAGTCAGAATTGGTTGATCATGTGGTTGACTAAGTGGTTATTTTCTACTTAGCAAATGGGAATGTTTTTCAGCAGCGATTTAAACAGGCGCTCGAGTGCTCGGGCTAGGCGAGGTGAGGCCCGAGTGCCTCGTTTCACTTCCAAGCGGTGCGCTTCAAAGAAGTGTCGCCTGGGCGCTCACCCGAGCCTAGGCACTAGGCGCTTCGAGCGAGCGCCTGGGTTAAACTAGGCGATTGAACCGGGATTTTAAGTCTGGTTCGGTCTCTGGTGGTTAGTTGGTTCAATCGTCTAAAATCGATATAAACTAAAATAGATATCAACTGTCGTTGCCCAACCCTAACCCTGTTCGCTGCTACTCCTGCTCCCGTTGCTCGTCGCTGTCGTTGCTCGCTATCGCTGTTGTTGTCTTCGCTCGCTGCTCCTGCTCTCGCTGTCACTGTCGCCGCTGCTGTTGCTGTCGCTGTCGTTGCTCCTGCTATTGCTGCCTCCTTATACTATCGCTGACGCTGCCTCCTTACACTCCCGCTCCCATTGTCGTTACCTCTTTACACTCTTGCTGTCGTTACCTCCTCACACTCCCGCTCCCACTGCCGTTGTCTCCTTACACTCTTTCCGTTACCGCTTCTTCTTTTCTCAGTCAGCTCCTCCTTATACTCATCATTTTTCTCATTCTATATAAAATTTTAAATAATTATATTTATTAATTATATTATATATTTTTATATTTTTTTGGATCTTAACGCCTTTTGGTCCCTATGAACTCTGTGTTTGCTGGCTATATAACAACGAATATCTAAGGCGTTATAGAATGGTCATCAAACGTAATTTTGTATGAATTCACGTTTGCTGGCTATATAACAATGAATATCTAAGGCATTGTTTACCGTTGACTGTGAAGACGTGGTGGAAAACTAACCATGGAGAAGACAGCGCAGCGTTGACGTTCGTCCCATGGTTCGAGGATATGAAATTAATACGCTTTATGTTGGTGCTTTTCCTCCCATCTTTAATCTGAAATCTCTCTCTCTCTCTCTCTCTCTCTCTCTCTCTCTATCTATATATATATATATATATATATATATATATAGGATGCTGATCCTACCGGAAGAATACTATCACATGAATGTGGTACTTGGCAGGGCATGTGAAGGGGTGTACATTCACATGTCTCATAAATAGTCTGAGATAAAGAAAATCGAATAGTAAAAATTCACTCACCACAAAATACGTTAAGCTTCTAAATTATTTTATTAATATTTAAATATATCGGTACAAAAAATAACTCTTGTGTGAAAGTCACATAACTAACACCTGGCACCATATGCGGAGGAGATGTCCGTTCCAACACATCAATGTACCAAATCACAATCACAATGAAACGGGTAACACGTACGTGGGCACGATGACACCCTAAAAATAAAAAAAATAAAAAAAAATCTTAGTAATAAGAGAAATATATTCCAATTTTGATTCAGACATCCAATCTGCAATTAGAGAGAGAATAAAGTCTCAAAGTAATATTAGATTTATTTAGAAGCTCATCCAAATCACATTCAATCTTAACCATTAAAACAAAAGATGATTTATCCATATTAGCGCAATACTTGGTCCAGGCATAGCCCAAGTAGGAATTAGGCCCAAGCTAAGATGGATCTACAATGTCACTACTCCTTACACACGCTTAGGAGTTATCCCATCACCCAATCTCAAATGAGTCCCTATCTATCATTTTAAGACTCCTCCCATCGAACATACATGACAAGGAGATAATTACCTTCTCAGTACTTGAAAGATCCAAAAGCAGTAACCAAAAATCTCACAGCAATACTGAAACCCCTTTTTCCTCAACTTCCAATCATTAAAAGTCTTGCATCAAAGTTGAGGGTGAGAAGGGTTACCAAATTGGAGAACACTCACTAACATGAGATCACCAAAGTCTGACATAACAAGTGATCATATTATCATCTATTACATAAATTGAAAAGCTTTTGCTCGATAAGCATTTCCAAATAAAACAACAATCCCTTAATTTTTCTTTATGTGGTAGAGCTTTACCACTAATTTCCATCACACAAGGAAAAATAAAAGAAAGAGAGAGGGCCTATGTGCTACCCCCCAAGCTTCAAAACCCAACACCTAATTATCATTAGCCATGGTTTTTTTACAATTAGGTAAATTACTAAAGCTTAATAATCACTATCAACTTCACGCAAAAGTGAAGGATCCAAAATAATATCATAAATATAAATTTCCACCTACCTTTCATGCGCATGTAGTTTTATAGTATCTCACATCCTTCAACGAGAGAAGAAGAGGCAACAGAAGTGAGTTCTGGAGGCAGTTACCAACGGAAGCACGACCGCGTAGCGGAGCAGAGACGGAAACCGTTAAGGGTACCGTTCCAGTCGGCGTTGGGACTCGCTCCGGGACGGGCTCCGCCAGAAGCCGGTGCGCTGGAATCGGGCCAATATCTCCTTCTCCACCTCTGCCACCTCTGCTGGTGACGGCCCCTCCACGTCGCCGTTCAAGTCTTCCGTCGTCACAGTGGAAAGCCTGTCGCCTCCGGCATCGGACCTGGGCCCCAGCAGCCGGGCCTCCTTCCGCTTCCTGGCCCTCTCCTTCCGCTTGTCCCGGGCATGCAACACCCGGCGGCAGACCCGCGCCGGCAGCTTCACCGCGGTCAGCACCACGAGGTTCACCACCATGCAGGGGCCGCAGCAGCACACTGCGGCGCAGTCCGCCGCTGTGACCCCGGCCAGCTCCGCGCATCGCGGCCCGGGCCGCGTCGGCTGCTTTAGGATCAGTGGCTGCCTCCGGACTTGGGCCGCCGAGACTCCGGCTCCCGGAGACGGTGGCTGCGGCGCGGGCGGAGGCGTCTTGTTCCGCTGCATCCGATCAAATCTCACGAAGGCTCGCGCTCATCGTTGGCGATCGCGACGGTGATATCCTCTTTCTTTCGATCAATCTTGGAAGGTTCTGGAATCCGTGGAACGGAACCGTGGAAACGGCGTCGGGGTCACGTGGCCTCACCGAGGGGAATCCGGTGACGGGTTACGGGCTCTCAGGCTTCTATAAAAGGCCGGATCCGTTCCGCGGGATGAACGTTGCTAGCTATACGCCGCGGAACCGGGTCGGCCCCTCGTCTCTCATCTTGCCGCACCTCTGGATTCGAACGGTTCCAAGAGCGAGAGCGAGAGAGAGAGAGAGAGAGAGAGAGAGAGAGAGAGAGAAGATTTCAGGGGTGACTTGGTCAACTCAAGTAGGATACATTTTTTTGTCTTGTGACACTCGAACCTCGTCAACTATACAGAGCATGGCAGGAGCCGATTCACTACCTCCCCACCCGTGTCGCTGATTCGCACGTGTGGAGCCGTGACATCGTCGAGTTCTCGATTTTTGGGTGAACGTGCCGACTCACCACTTCACCACTCGTGTCGCTGACTCGCACGTGTGGAGCCGTGCCGTGGAGTTCCCGATCTTCTTGGGATCGAGAGAAAAGGTTAAGTGTCAGAATCCTTATCCTTGGGCTTTCTTTTATCACAACTTCACACGTGTGACCCTCCTCTTTCCACACGCAACCGAACCGCCGATGCGAAGCGCGCGCCACCACGAAATCTCTTGCACCCTCGCGAAATGTACCTCTTTCCTGTACCAGCCTCGTAGACGGCGAAACGATTCATTCCGGACCCCACATTTGGTCCAGTCACAAGGCAGGTACAAGCCGGCGAAAGAAAATTTATGGTTCGCTTAAACTTACTCGATGTGTTGATCTGTACGCTTCACACGTGTTAGAATACCTGGATCATGCTTGCGATCCATCCACCGCAATGGTGAGCTTAGTTGAACGATGGCCACTCTCTATACCTTTTTTAACATAACCCATGTATGTATAAATATTATTTTAATGATTGGCATTTGAAAATTGTATATAGTTTGATTGATTGGATCACAGCATATTTTACCTGATGCTGAGTAGTAAAAAGAAGAAAATAAAAAGACAATTATCATATTTTAGCAATAAATAAAATTTTGTTTTAATTAAGAAATTGATTTGGAAGATATTTAAAATTGGTTGATGGTCCCAAAAAAGGAAAAAAAACATTCTATTTCTTCAAGAGGTTTCAGTGTAATTTCTAATCAAGCAGTTGCCTCTTTAAGTAGTATAGTGTATGTTTTATATCATGGTGGTGGCAACCTAATGAACATTGCAAGCAAATTTCCATCTCACCTTCTCCAAGCAACCCGAAAGCGGTTTCGGTAACCTCACCGAACGGTGAGCAAATACCAGGTCATCGATAAATACCCCGAGCCTCCGTCTCATCAACCGCACGCTCTCTTTCTCTCTCTCTCTCTTTCTGTCTCTCGGTGTGATGAGAATGGGTCTTCGATTGGCGTATGGACTGGTGTTCCTCTCGGTCTCCGTCGTCTTCTTGAAGATGCTCCATCTCTTCCTGAACCCCGTGTTCTACTTCACCTCATAGGATGATGAGGATGGGATGATTAATTATCATCCGGAGACCTCCGTTGCTGGGCTCCTGTGGCAGCGAGTCGGAATGGTGGTGGAAGATAGACGATGAGTCTATTTTGTTTTCCGTTCTTCTCTTCGGTCAGTAACAGTAGTCAGTTGTTAAGGGGAGTAGTAGTGTATCGAGTTGCTGTAGAACACCTTGCACTTGGATTGTAATCCGTGTTGAGGTTTGCAAGAATTGTATCAGTCAGTAAAGGCTTTGATCTTTTAAATCGACTGTGTTCTGATACGGTCAAATTTTGCTACTGTGGACAGAAAACCCGATACTATTCACTCATAACTGGAGAGAGAGAGAGAGAGAGAGAGAGAGATTAGGAGCCTTCGGTTGCATCATGAAGCTCTCTCTGACTGTGGCTGAGAACTTGCGTCCATCTTTGAATTGTAATCTGCAGCATGTACGTCCATCTAGCGAACAGCTTATGTGCATTGAATCACCATAAAGTAGCTCCCGCCAACTAGCGAACATTAGGCTAACACCACACAGGAAAGCAATATGACAAACAGATGATGTGCACTGGAGCAACATGAAGCAGGAACTACCGAGAGAGAGAGAGAGATTCTGTGAAGGCGGTCCGTGTCGTCGACGGGTAACGCGTCCCCAGCCAACGAACAAACAACTTATGTGCGTCACATTACGAGTTGCTGCGAAGGAGGGTCAAAGTGATCAACGAACTGCAGTGGAAATTATTAGCGCGAAAAAGGTAAAGAAGACAAAAGAATTCCGTTGCCGGGACTCGAACCCGGGTCTCTCGGGTGAGAGCCGAGTATCCTAACCAACTAGACTACAACGGAGGTTGTGTTTGTTCTTTATAAATATAAATACATTAGTATAAATACAATTGATTAATTCACACCCAAAGCATGTAAAATATTATTTGAGGTGGAAATTAGGAAATCCAAAACAAACACACACATACATATAAATATATTTTATTTCACAGATCGAGGTTAACATATATTATATTAGATACTAATTCAACAAAAAAAAACTTAATCTATCAAGTTGTGGGTTAAAACATTATCCTCTTAGTCAACATATTTTTCGTCTTATACATATGAATATTTTCAACATCTTAGGCTTTTCAAACATCTTTTCATCCTCATTCAATTAAATTGCAGTTTAACTATCACTTTTTTTTTTTTTCTGATTCATTGTGATCAAAATTTATCTACCTAACTTTACTCAATGTTAAAAATCTAACTGGTTATGATGTACATATATCATGTCGAAGCAACAAGCTTAAGTTGTTTGATTATGGGTCAAACTCTATATATATATATATATATATATATACATCACTTTTAATATAGAATAGGTTAAAGAATCCACGTACACATCTTTGGACAAGCTTAAACACTCCTTTCTTCCGATCAAACTACCTATACTAAGTTGTCGACGCACTTCGATCATGAAAATATAATATATTATAGAATTGATCCGAACCGAGTTCAGGTGAAACAATCATGATTGTCCTCTAAGCCACTTGACATTCCACATTGGTCGGAAGATTTGAACCAAGGGTTGATCGTGAAGAACACGTGTTATTGCCCCTCGGAGCCCCTTGGAGTGATGCAGAGCATCAGTAGACAAGGACAAGTAGCACCTTGAGATGACTCTAAACATCATTCAGTAATCAAATCGTACCTCAAAGAAATCATGGGTCGGTTGCCATTAGCCAATGAAGCCTAAGGAGTTCACTTATTATTTCAATCGTACATCCAAATCGTTTCTGGAATAGATTCGTGCTTTTGGGACTGAACAAAGCCGTATTGATTTTCTCGTCAACGACATCCAGGAACTAAAAATACTGTTTCTCATATATTTTTTAAAATTTTTTAAGAGAAATTAAAACAGATCGAAAGTATTTTTCATATCTTTTGTTCTTTTCATCAATCTAATTTTTTAAATTTTTTTTCTTTCATGTTGATTCCTTCTCATAACATAACTATAGAAATCTTAAAATATTTATTAATCTCAATACAATATTATGTGATACTCTCAACTTGCATAAACCTCCTTCTTTCTAGTTGTTTAATATTGACAAATATATTTATCATCTGTGTTTTTATATTACAAGTCATTTAAGTGTGAGGGTGTTTTCATGCTATATTTGAATTATAAATATATTGAGTCCTCTTTTAATAATTAAAAATTTTGGGATATCAGATTAACCGTAAAAGATTCATTAAAAGCCCATCATATCTTGCCATATAGACTGATCCAATTGAACAATGCAAATAAAACACCAAATGACTTGAGGATTTCTTCCTATCTTATTCTCCCCTTCGATCAAATAATCTAAGCCGTGCACGTGTACTGAAGGTGTAGCAGATTGAGGAATTGAACTCGACCGGGTTCAGCTCGAACCGCCGCCGTTGTCCTTCATGAACCGCTTGATCGTCCCCATCAGCTTGCCGGAGGGTTCGGACCAGGGGTCGATCGTGAAGAAGCCGTGTTGCTGCCCCTCGAACTCGGCCAGCTCCACCGGCTTCCCCCACCCCCTCAGCCGCACCGCGTACTCCGCCGCCCGGTCCCGCAGCAGATCCCGTCCCCCCACCACCACCAGTATCGGGTCCACCTCTGCCGCCTCTAGGTCCGCGCTCTCCGGCCCCAAAGGATTCACCAGCGGGTGGTCCAGCGTCGCCTCGGAGGGGATCGATAGTCGCCAGTACCGGTCGTTGAGCTCCCGATTCAGGAACGCATCGTCGGGGCACTCCGCCTCCGACCGCGTCGGCTGGGTCCCGCCGAAGAAAGGCATCAGGAGGACGAACCCCCGGAGTCGGAGCGGCGCCAGCGCGGCCCGGCCGGCAGGGGAGCCGAACCGGAGGGCGAGGTGGTGGGCGATGTTCCCGCCGGAGGAGTCACCCGAGATAAACACCCGGGCGAGGTCGGCCGACTCAGCGAGCCACGGGTCTGCGGCGGCCTGGGAGCGGAGCCACTCGACGGAGGCGACGGCGTCGTGGATGGCTGCGGGGAGGCGGTGCTCGGGAGCGAGGCGGTAGTCGGGGGCGACGACGAGGGCGCGGAGGTCGGAGGCGAGGCGAAGGCAGTAGTTCTGGCAGTTGGGCCAGGTGCGGGAGCCGATGCAGAAGCCGCCGCCGTGGAAGTAGAAGAAGACGGGGAGCCTGCCCTCGTCGGGGGCTTGGCTGCGACGAGGGCGGTAGAGGCGGAGGTGGAGGGCGTGGGGGGCGGGGGAGAAGAGGGCGTCCTTCCACTCGACGGAGCCGTCGTCGACGACGGGGATGGGGAAGCTGGGGTTCTGGGACCGGACGATGGCGCCGTCGCTGAGCACGCGGAGGACGCCTCGGCACTCGTCGACCACACGCGGAGGAGAAGAGAAGGAGGATGCCATGGAAGAATCGGCGATGGGAAACAAGGAATTAGGACTGCGGCGTCGCTTAGGGGGCTAAAAAAGCGCAAGAGAAGAGAGAGAGAGAGAGTGACGAGAGGACGGACGGTGCGGTGGCGTTTTCGTCAGAGTAAGTGTCGTGAGAGACTGCATCGGAATCATCGGTCTTGTTGTTTACTTCGTGACCTGACGTGATATGGGGTTTGACGTGTCTTCTTTTATTGATATCGGTGTGACGTATGGCCTTCTTTTATTGATATTGTCCGGCAAAGAAGATGCTATTTAGTGATATTATAGTTGCTTGCAGTTCTCACTTCTTCATATAGAAGAGCTACGCAGCAATTATGGTGATGCTATTGTATCTTAATATTTGAAAGATAGATGCCGTACCTGGATTTAGTGGGAGAAACCTAAGGCTAATTTCAAAAGCTCTTTATCATTTTAATTTTTAAATTAAAAAAATTTAGAATAAAATTTTTATAGTTATGAAAATAAAATATTTAATCTCATTTACCGTAATGTCGTCGTCTTTATCGATGAAAGATTCAATACATGAATGATATAAAAATGATAAACAAAAAGATAATTTTAATAATGATGATGGACGATAGGATCATAGGTGGAGTGGTAGTGGTCGACGAGAACGATACGGTGGTTAGCTTTGTCGATGTTGATCCGACCATCGATGACGAGGAGGTAGAATGGTAAGGCATTTGCGTTGGCGCCACACCATTGTGTTCCTCTTCTGTGATGCAATAATCGACCATAATGAAGAGGAGACAAAGTGGTACAACGTCGACGCATAAGAGGCAATATGACATCGTACCAAATGATGTGGTGGCTAATGAAAACGATACGATGGTTAGCCTTATTGATGTCGATCCGAACATCGACGATAAGGAGGTAAAACGGTGAGGAATCTGCGTTGGTGCCGCACCGCTGTGCCTCCTCTTCCTCTTCCGATGATGCGGTAGTAAGTGAGAACGAAGAGAAGGCAGAGCGATGCAGTGTCGACGTAGAGGAGGTAGTACAATGTCGCACCAAACGATATGGTGATCGACAAGAACGAAGAGGATGTAGTGGTGCGGTGCTAGAGGAGGAAGATGAGGCAAGTGAGGCATCCGCATTGGTGCCGCATTGCTCTGCCTCCTTTTCGTTCTCACCAACCATCGCATCATTCAGTGCGGCACCGCATTGCCTCAATTGCATCGACGTCACACCGCTCTGCCTCCTCTTTGTTCTCATCGACCACCATATCGTTCAATGCCACATTGCCTTGCCTTTTCTTCATTCTCGTTGACTACCATATCGTCGAAAGAGGAAGAGGAGGCAAAGTGATGCGACACCGATGCCTCACCGGCTTCCTCTTCCTCCTCTTCTATCGCATCGCTCTATCTATTCTTCGTTCTTGTTGTTGGGAAATCATTGGGGGGCGCCATCATATGCGCAGCGGAAGAACAAGAAAAACAAAATCCCCGATTCCCAAAAAGATGTTCGTCGTCGTGCGAAGATTGGTGTGCAAAAATCCGCAAAACACAAAACTGTGTATAGAGATTGTGTTACCTAGGGAAATCGTATAT